TATCCAAGAATAAAATTGCAACACCTGCTATTTTTTGCTCTTAATTTGCTTGGTAGATCTTCTTCCATCCCTTTATTTTGAGTGTAGTGTGTCGTTGCAGGTGAGATGGGTCTCCTGAATATAGCACATTGATGGGTTTTGACTTTTTACCCAGTTTGGCAGTCTGTGTCTTTTGATTGTGGCATTTAGGCCATTTATGTTTAATGTTGATATTGTTATGTGTGAATTGATCTCACCATTTTGTTACGGGTTATTTGTTTTGCCCATTGATCGATGCAGTTTCCTCATTGTGTTGTTGGTCTTTACCATTTGGTTCATTTTTGCAGTGGCTGGTACTGGACGTTTTTTTCTGTGGTAAGTGCTCCCTTCAGGAGCTCTCATACGGCAGGTCTGGTGGTGATAAAATATCTCAATAATTGCTTGTTCATAAATAATTTTATTTCCCTTTCATTTATGAAGCTTAGTTTGGCTGGGTATGAGATTCTGGGTTGAAAGTTCTTTTCTTTAAGGATGTTGAGTATTGGTCCCCACTGTCTTCTGGCTTGTAGGGTTTCTGCCAAGAGTTCCACTGTCAGTCTGATGGGCTTTCCCTTGTGGGTGAACCAAACTCTATCTCTGGCTGCCCTTAGCATTTTTTCCTTCATTTCAACCCTGATGAATCTGGCGATTATGTGCCTGGGGATTGCTCTTCTTGAGGAGTATCTCTGTGGTGTTCTTTGTATTTCCGGTATTTGAATGTTGACCTGCTTTGCTAGGTTGGGGAAGTTCTCCTGGATAATATTCTGAAGAGTGTTTTCCAGCTTGGATTCATTTTCCCTGTCCTCTTCAGGTACATCGATCAAGCGTAGATTAGGTCTTTTCACATAATCTCATATTTCTTGGAGGCTTTGTTCATTTTTGTTCACTTTTTTCTGTTTTCTTGCCTTCTCTTTTAATTTCATTAAGTCGATCTTTGATCTCTGACATCCCTTCTTCTGCCTAATCTATTAGGCTATTGAAACTTGTGTATGCTTCATGAAGTTCTTGTGCGTGTTGTTCAGCTCCATCGAGTCGTTTGTGTTCTTCTGTAGGCTGGTTATTCTAGTTAGTATTTCATGTAATCTTTTTTCAATGTCCTTAGTTTCTTTGCATTTGGTTAAAACATGTTCTTTTAGCTCAGAGAAGTTTGTTATTACTCATCTTCTGAAGCCTGCTTCTGTCAGCTCATTAAAATCATTTTCTGACCTGTTTTGTTGCCATGCTGGTGAATCGTTGTGATTTCTCTGGGGAGGAGAGGCATTCTAGACTTTGATGTTTTCAACCTTTTTGCGCTGGCTTCTTCCCATCTTCTCTGAGTGGACGTCCCTTCTGTTAAGTTGGCGTTATTTCTCCTGTATGAGGCTTTTTTTATTTAACACAGGTGTCAGTGTGCCGCTTGAGACAGTCTGTCCATTGTCTGCCTGTGGAGATGCTGCTGGGCTGCCTCAGTCTCAGTCCAGGCTGCTGTTTATTCTTCACCTGGTTTCCATACTGCTGGGGTTAGCCCTGCCTTCCCAATGGCAGGCTCTTTCCCTCTGCCGATCCCTTTGTTCCTGGGGTGGAGGATGTGTTAACTGTGAAACTCTCCCGGGCCTCTGGTTGCTGTATCTTGTAGGGGAGGGGCCTGTCTGGTCGTATCCCCCTCCCCTCTTTCAACTCTCCCTTTGTGGGACGGTCAGTTCCTTTTCACAAGCTTTCTCAGTATTAGTCCAAATCTCTGCCCTGTTCTGTGTTAACAAGGCACCGGTCTGGCCAGGGCTGCCGGCCTGGGCTGTTGTCCGGGTCAGTGACTCCGGGTGGTTCTCAGCAAGGCAGTGTTTCGCTGGTCTGTGTGCTGCTGGAGTCTTGGAGTAAATTGCTGTATCTGATTCAGAGAACAGAGGAGGTGATGCCCCCCCCACCATCCTCTGTGCCTAATACACTTTCAAGGTGGGGCAGTGCCCCGCCTTGCCTCGGTTGGATGCCTTTGGGCTGATTTCACTGCCTTTTGGGGGGTTAATCCTGCTGTTCAACCAGTCCCTTTAAAACAAAACCAGCACCTCGCTCAGAGACACGTGTATTGGTCTGGTTCTGTATCACTCAGTGGTAGCTGCATTCCAGAGAAGCTTCCTTTCAGCCATCTTCCCCTGAATCTCTCCTTATTTATTTATTTTTTTTTTTTTTTTTTTTTTTTTTTCTTTTTCTTTTCCTTTTTTTTTTTTTTTTTTTTTTTGAGATGGAGTTTCATTCTTGTTGCCCAGGCTGGAGTGCAATGGTGCGATCTTGGCTCATTGCAACCTCTGCTTCCCAGGTTCAAGCAATTCTCCTGCCTCAGACTCTCGAGTAGCTGGGACTACAGGCATGTACCACCATGCCCAGCTAATTTTTTTTGTGTGTGTGTTATTAGGAGAGATGGGGTTTCACCATGTTGGCCAGGCTGGTATTGAACTCCTGACCTCAGGTGGTCCACCTGCCTCAGCCTCCCAGAGTGATGGGATTATAGTCATGAGCCACTGCTTCTGGCCAGTTTCCTTATTGTTTAAATAAGTAGATTAGACTAGATAATCCTAAAACTGTTTCCAGTTCCAAGATTTTAAAACTGTCCCTCTTCTGATTTTAACATGGTCAACATAACCCTTTACATGGTTGAATTACATTTTTGTGTTGATACTTCCCAAATCTGTATCTCAAGGTTACAACTCTCTTACATGGTCCATTCTCATGCAGCAGACTTCCCACTGAACAGCTCCATCTGTATATAGTGTATGCACATCACACATACTATGCACAACATGACTCATATTTTCCCTAGCAAGTTGTTTCCTTTTCTGCACACTTTCCTCGCGTTGTCTAAGCATTGCTCTCCCTTTGAGTCTTCCACCCCACCTTTTCTGCAAGAACCATCTATTTATCTTCCAGGACCCTGCTAACAAATCAGCTTCCTGTGTGAAATTTTTCCAAGCCCACTCTCTCCCCTAGTACTGTCATCGACTACCTTCCATGGCATGCAAAGTAGGCTGGTATCGGAGCACCCACATGAATGTTCTCACCTGCTTATTTATGAGTTTACATTTTGAATTCCTTGAGGGTATGGAAAGGTTTTATTTCTTCATGATCCTACCCACGGCTGAGGAAGTATTGACAGCAGGTGATTAACAAATATTGAATGAATAAGTAAAAATGAAAATTCTGTGGTCTGAGGATTTCTCGTGGCATTACGTTACCTGGCATATGTCCTCCACCAACAGTCTCATCAAGGTGTGAAGAAACCACTGGCTCTCTGGCTTCTTGCCCAGTCTTATCTGCTCACCAATGTATGAAGCCTTATATAAATGCCAGCCTTCATTTGATTATACACATCTTCCCGCTGTGGGAAGTCAGTGTCCTTTTTGTGTCTATTTGGTTTTGCAGAGTGCAGATACCACATTTCCTGTTTCCTTCTTCTCTTCCTAGGGTCAGGATTAGAATAACAAGGCTGGGTTCAGTGGCTCACACCTGTCATCCCAGCACTTTGGGCGGCCAAGGCGGGTAGATCACCTGAGGTCAGGAGTTCAAGACCAGCCTGGCCAACATGCTGAAACCCCATCTCTACTAAAAATACAAAAATTAGTTGAGTGTGGTGGTAGACACCTATATTCCCAGCTACTTAGGAGGCTGAGGCAGGAGAATTGCTTGAACCTGGGAGGCCGAGGTTGCAGTGAGCTGAGATTATGCCACTGCATACCAGCCTGGGTGACAGAGTGAGACTCGGTCTCAAAATTTCATTTTTTTTAATTTTATGACTTTTTTTACTTTAAGTTCTGGGATCCAGGGTGGTTTGCTGCACCTATTATCCTCTCATCTAGTCAGCTTCTAATACTTTTTCATTCTTTTAATCCTACGTTTGACTCAGTTCTCTCTTGGTAATCAGCTGAACACAGGAAATTTAAACTTCTTAAACACAGGAAATTTGTACATAAACCAGCCTCATCATAAGCAATTAACAAATGCACTTTCAGCTCCTCCAAATGCTAATGAAATTTACACCTGATACTAAGCTCTCATTCAGTAGGTATACTTGGGTAAATAAGCTGTCAGACTTGAGTGGCTATTTCTCCCCATCCTCTCAAAACACTTCCCACTCCCTGGTAAGGCTGGAAGAAATTTTCCAAAGTGATTTGTTTTAGCAAGGTCAGGAAGCCATCTGTGAATTGTAAAAATGACAAAATTCGTTTTCTGTCCCTTCATGTTTTTTGCACTTCCTGGTGCTGTGGTAATTAACATAGAAGACTCGTACAAATGGGAGACGAGTTTGTCTTCAAAGAGAAGTTTCTTTCTGTGTGATCCACTGCATCATACATCCACTCAGGCTTATCTGCCTCTGACCTTCCTTCCCCAAATGGGTAGTACTTAGTCACTCCCAGTCATTTTCTTCCACTGCCATCCTTCCCTATATTCGTTGATAGGGTCAGGAACAGCCCCTTGAAAGTTAGTTTGTCTTCGAAAAGATCACCAATATTTTGGACCAGGTCGGAAGGCAAGATAGAACATAATGCCTAACCTAGTTTAAGCCAGTTATGCATCACTAATGATGATAGTTATTTTTTATCAAGCACTTTATTCAGTGCCATTGGTAATTACATAATTAGTGCATTCAGTTCTCAAAATAGCTCTGTAATGTAAGGATTCCATACTAGCCATTTGCAGATGAGGAAAAGAAGAAATGGAGGGGCTGTCAGTTGTCTGCAGTCACATAACCAGTAGGTGGCCAAGTTAAAATTTGCATTCCTGCCTGTACCTTTTCCATTTCACCAGTACTTACAAGAAAATGTTTATATCTTGAATGAGAAGGGTTCTTGATATGTGCTTAAGACAAATGGTGACCTGTGCAGCAGGAATGTAGCCCTATTTCTGTTGTCCCTTAGTTGGAAAGAGACTCAGAAGGCTGAGATTTTGAAACCGTGCATGTAATGAATTGAACAGAGGTTTGACTGACTCGCATAAGATGTTTCTTTGCCTTGCAGGAAGATTTCCAACCCGCAGCAGCTTCAGAGACCAACTGGGAATCAGTCACAAGCTCTATTTCAGTAAGTAATTTATGACTCCGTTGCCAGCAAAAGAAACTGATGGGATAGCTAAGATCAATCCCAGAAGAACTTCACCTGTGTCACAGACCTGTGGTTTGACCAAAGCCGGATCTCAAACAGGACGTGTTTCTCCATTTCACTCAGGTTACAATGGATTATGTCAGACACCCTTTTCCTGTCTGTCAGAAAGGTTTCCAGGAACTGCCAGTATACTGTGGTAGGAACTCAGGCTGGGCAATCACTGAAATGTTTTTCAGTTTCAGAGCAGAGCTTTCCAATTAAAGGTCTGTCCAAACATATCAAACGTATCAAATTAGTTCATGGCCCACACTCAAGTGCGGAATTTCAAAATAGCTTTCGAATATTCCTGGGGAAGATGTTAACCTTTGCATTTTCAAGGGTCTTTTCAGACTTGAAAATCCCAGTGTTTACAGTAAGATAACTTAAGTGCAAATTAGGCATGTATTCCATTTTACTTCGATAGAAAACGTAACTCACCGTGAAGCTGTAAAATGGTTCATGCTCCAATTTTTTTCTAAATTTAGTCATTTCTCAGTATTCTGTCCCTTATCTGTTTTGTACAGAAAGAGCAGACCTTGTTTTCACCAATCCTATGTGTAGCACATATGTAGCAATAAAATACAAGACAATAAATGCAATTGTTTCCTAAAAGGTCAAGAGCATAGAGAAAGCTTGCCCATGGTTCTAAGTAGGTCCATGTGGCTGAGTCAGAGTTGATTTCTTTTTCTAAAATTAATATGTTATCTTTTACTCTCTAGGGGATTTTTTAAAAAAACTCTTTCATATGGCAAAATTCCCTCCACTATGAATTATGTGACTATTTAATTCACCTGGTATGGCTTCTGGACTAGAACCTCATCTGATCAAAAGATCAGAGCGATCTCTGAGGGTGATTTAGGTGTTTTGTGTGCTTTCTACAGTCCAGGATACATGCTCTGAACCTAGCTTGGTGTAGACAATCATTACCAATTAGGTGAAAGTCAACATAAGGCAGACAAAGCTGAGGAGCTGCTCAGGCTAGGCAGGAGGGTCACAGTAGAGGCTGATAACTCAAGGTAGACTTATGCAACCATGACTGAGGGTCAAGGGATGCTCCGGCTTCTCAGGCACCTTCGACCTGATAGCTCAGGGTTGTCTAATGATGCTTGCCCCAAGCACAGAATTACAAGCCTTCAAGGACCCTTAACTAATTAAGGATAACCCAGGTTCTTTAAAAGAGAGGAACTGTCCCATCCTTCGGAGTACGTGGGGAGGTTCCCTGGGTCCAGTCACTGCAAACACTTCTGGTTTGAGTTTCAAGTCTAGGTGCTGCTTAACTCTCTTGTAAGGCCAGAGCAAGCGCGTTTCTTTACGCGGAACTCCATTGTTCAGGAACTTTCTGGAACAGGAGCAAGGGTCAGTGGACCTACCATTAACATTTGTTTAAACCGGACCTTGTTTTTGTTGAAAGGGGTTTTCCGTATTCAGAGCTTTTTCTTTACATGTTGTTGTCATTTTAAAGTAATGCGGTTAACTTCAGAATTGATTTTTATAAATACAGGACAAAAGCTGAATGAAATCATATTTACTGTGCAGCTGAAGGAGACACATTCGATTAGTTCTTTTCTGTACAAATAGTTTTAAAATATTTACCTCAGAAACCAGAATGTCCTCATGGGCGTATTAGGTCACCTCATCCCTCATAAATATTTCCTCAGCCATCATTGTTGTTTCTGGAAACTTCCGGGAAGCAAAACTTGACAACCGCAGTAAGGCTCATACACAAGGACACGTTTACATTTTACCTATGACTTGGATTTACTCTTCAGCCTCATATTGGAAGAGATTAAATTTCCCCCTCCCGTCTCAGGGACTGAGAGTTCTCCACAGCTTTCTCTGAGAGAGATACCTGCCTACACACTACATTCTAGGCACTGGCAGGAGCCACCCCGGAAAACTCCATGCAGCCACTTTCCCCAGAGCTGTCGCAAGAAGCTGTCACTTGCATGGGAATGGCTTTATGGGTGTCCCTGTTTTTATTTCAAAAAAGAGGGAAGCATTTTAACTTCACAGACTTTTTATGTGCTGCCATGCCTCTAATCTGCTCAGCGCATTTTGAGTTTTTCAGTTCTTAGACCCACGCTATTGTGACACAAGGCTAGTTGTAAACCATCTGGTGCAATGATGTTGAGCCAGATAGACTGTAGATCATCCAGGCAATGCAAGTTGATGGGGATTTGGAATTACAGTACTGAATTGTAAGTATTCCACCCCTAGCATGTGACCCCAAGAGAGATGTGAAAGACAGAAATGATGTGCTTCAGTCAGGGTCCGGCTCGTGTCAAGCAGACACACACACAAACACAGGCACACACACACGGACACACACACCTCAATTAAAGAGACAACCTATCAGAAACAGAAGGAACAAACAGGGCTGCACCCAGATATAATATCAACAAGACGACTGCAGAGGGCATCTTTAACATGGCTCGAACTGTGAATAAATCTGTGGGTTCTTCTATAATGTATGACAAGGACCGTGCCTCCAGATAAATAATCATTATTGCCTGGATACACCTGAACAGAATACACAGTAGACTCATAAGGTAATGAGTGTAGCACGGTAGGAAAGGTTTGGTCAGAGGGGATGTCTACTTATTTTAACAAGGATGACTGAAAACTAGACGTATGGTTTCTTCTAAAAGAAAAAAAAAAAAAATAGAACTGGCCTGACATTCATCCGTCTATTTCATTCTCTCGCCCCACTCCCTCGACTCCCTTTAACCTACAGGGAATAATATTTGAAAACTGCTCCTGAGTGAGACCAATGGTAGATTAATGCTTTAAAGCCCCTCAGTTGTGTGAAGCGAGACTTCCTCTGACAGCAGATGATCATGAAATCACTTACCAACCTTTGGACCTTGATTGGTTAAAGACAGACAGCTTTGCCTGAGAGTAAGATTGTAAATTGTGGGCTTTGCTGTCTGGGACTCTATAGCACCCATTTTTCTTGATTAGATTCGACAGTCAATCCTTAGGAAAGCAAGTTGTCATTAAGTCCTATTTTCCCTTAGTGATAAGAGATATTTGCCATTAGGGGGCTCTTATTTATTTGGTAGTTTCTTTAAAGAGATTTAAAAATCATTTGAGGCTGTGTGCTCTCTATTTCCTTGTCAATGGGTCATGAATTTTAACAGAGATATTTGAATCATGGCTCATTTACCTCTAGATTGTACGAGGGTTAGTGAAGGAAGTGCTTGGAAACCTTCTGTGGGATGTATTCTATGGCAAAATACATAATCCTCTTCAGGCTTTCAATGATGTTGTGTTTCTCATTTAAAGACTCTTGCTGAGAACTTTTAATGGCAACTGGGATCACTAGCAAACTATAGCATTTTAGAAAAATATGCTGCCCCTGTGAATCCTCTCCTTTGAAGTCAAGAGAGCCAGTTTCATGGCTAACTATCCTTGTTGACAGTAAATAAGTTGGTTAAAGTGCTAGATTTTATGAAAATGTCTCCAGGGTAGATGAGCACATTGCTCACACCTCATCTCCAATTCCAGGTGACCTGTAAAGGGGGGATGGGGAGGTTAAATAGAGGAGAATGGAACAAATGATCAAAACTAACATGGACACAGTTTGAAATTTTAATTCCCACTATTATTTGTTGTTATGTGGTTGATTTAGGACCAGGAACCAAGAAACTGGATGACTTAATTTTATGTATTTCCATCTAGTGTATATTTTTAGATGATTATAGTTAAGATAAACTGAAAGTTTTATGATCTGCTTGGATTTGATGAATTTTAAAAAAAGCAAATGACTATCTTTTTAGCAATTAATTGATTTTACCCAAGAATATGGCAAGATAATGCCATGTTATTTTTTCATGGCATTCAAACTTCTGATGCCTTGTACACAGAAGCCTGTTTATGTTCTTTCTGTATAGTTGAATGACTGTTGTATTCCACAGCAATGGACTTTTTCTGAGTACACTGAGCTGTATGTCACTCTTAGGGGGTCTCCTATCACTCTCCATCAGTAACGGATCCCACTCTCACCGCGGACGCTCTGGACAAAAAAATTGCAGAATTTGATACTGTGGAAGATCTGCTCAAGTACTTCAATCCAGAGTCATGGCAAGAAGATCTTGAGAGTGTGTATTTGGACACCCCTCACTATCGAGGAAGGTCATATCATGAGCGGAGGTCAAAAGGTAAGAGACAGAGACTTACGCATTCTTCATAAGCAGATAGAGGTCTTCACAGTGCAGGCTGAGTTTCCCATATTCAAAGTATTTGAATCCAGAAGTCTTTTGGATTTGAGATCTGCATATGTCTAGCCAGTTTTCGCAACACCATTTATTAAACAGGGAGTCCTTTCCCCATTTCTTGCTTTTGTCAGCCTTGTCAAATATCACATGGTTGTAGATATGTGGCATTACTTCTGAGGCCCCTCTTCTCCATTGGTCTATATCTCTGTTTTGATACCAATGCCATGCTGTTTTGATTACTGTAGCTTTGTAGTATCATTTAAAGTCAGATAGTGTGATGCCTCCAGCTTTGTTCTTTTTGCTTAGGATTATCTTGGCTATGCAGGCTCTCTTTTGGTTCCATATGAAATTTAAGGGTTCTTTTTTTTTTTTTTTTCCAATTCTGTGAAGAAAGTTAATGGTAGCTTGAGGGGATAGCATTGAATCTATAAATTACTTTGGGTAGTATTGTCATTTTCATGATACTGATTCTTCCTAACCTTGAGCTTGGAATGTTTTTTCATCTGTTTGTGTCCTCTCTTATTTCCTTGAGCAGTGGTTTGTAGTTCTCCTTGAAGAGGTCCTTCACATCACTTGTAAGTTGTATTCCTAGGTATTTTATTCTCTTTGTAGCAATTGTGAATGGGAGTTTGCTCATGATTTGGCTGTTTGTCTGTTAGTGGTGTATAGGAATGCTTGTGATTTTTGCACATTGATTTTGTATCCTGAGACTTTGCTGAAGTTGCTTATCAGCTTAAGGAGATTTGGGGCTGAGACTATGGGGTCTTCTAAGTATAAAATCATGTCATCTGCAAATAGAGACAATTTGGCTTCCTTTTCCTAATTGAATACCCTTTATTTCTTCTTGCCTGATTACTCTGGCCAGGACTTCCAGTACTATGTTGAATAGGAGTGGGAAGAGAGGGCATCCTTGTCTTGTGCCAGATTTCAAATGGAATGCTTCCACTTCTTTTGTAAAGCCTACCTTGTCCCTTGTTCTGTCCCTGTGATGTCTACCTAGCCTCTAACCTGGTAAGGTTAGGAGCACTTAGGACACCACGTTACTTTGTGTGTCCTACTACTGCACTGTTACTGTACTTTTGGGTTTCCTCTAAGAGGAACTGGAATCCCAGTCCCTCCTCTGGTTCTCCATTCTGGCTGAAAATTAATTCACTGGGGGAGCTTTGAAAACCTACAGATGCCTAGTCCCACCCCAGATACACTGACTCAGAATCTCCATGTGGTGAGACTGGGGTATATATTGACATTATTTATGGTTCGTAGGAGAGTGATCCTCAGAGACAGCCAGTGTCAAGAGATTGTTCATCCTGTATCTGCAGCACTTGGATTAGTCTCTGACACATTTTAGATGCTCAATTAACATTTGTGGAATTGAAGATATTAATAACCCGTGTTAGTATATTTCTAAAGTTTATAACATCCACCTCCTAGACTGGAGAGGGTAGCTTCACTGAAAATGTCTTTGGTTACTGAAATCACCTTGCAGGGGCACTCAAGGTGACACGCGACTTGATGTTTGTGACACAGTAAACATTGTCTCTCTCCCCTGCTGGCTTAGGTCCCATTTCTTAATCTCTTCTTGTTTAAAATGGCCCTAAGGCGATTTTCTGCCATTTCTTTTAACCTGCCAAGTCACCACTGTCTTTGCTCTTGTAAATGTGCTGCTTTAACGATCATTCCATGGACACTGATTCACCTACACATATCACAAAAACAAGGGAAGTCAGATTTAATATTTCAGCTGCTATTGTCTGCTTTGAGAACATAAAAATACAAATTCATGGCTTGTATCTTGATCTGTGAGGAAGGGAGAAGTGAATAAACAGTGAAAACAGACTTTGGGAGGCCGAGGCGGGTGGATCACGAGGTCAAGAGATCGAGACCATCCTGGTCAACATGGTGAAACCCCGTCTCTACTAAAAATACAAAAAATTAGCTGGGCATGGTGGCGCGTGTCTGTAATCCCAGCTACTCAGGAGGCTGAGGCAGGAGAACTGCCTGAACCCAGGAGGCGGAGGTTGCAGTGAGCCAAAATCGCGCCATTGCACTCCAGCCTGGGTAACGAGAGCGAAACTCCATCTCAAAAAAAAAAAAAAAGAAAGAAAAAACAGTGAAAACAGGAGAGAAGTCCATGGGGCATCAAATAAAACTTTGCCTCCACAGGAGCTCCGTAAGTCTCCTGTCAGTATAATCATTTCTTAATGATGCTGTGCAGAAACAAGCTTGTCATTTATGAACTACTTTTGCACATCTATTCTTCTGATTTGTCCAGACAGATGGAAAGTAGCATTTTTCATGATTGCAAGGAGCAGGATTCTAAGATGACATTTGAATGTGAATATACAAAACATAGGGTTTTATGAACTCTGGAATAAAATGCAGACACACTGAGTAAAGAATTTATAATGAATCGGGAACAATTAAAATATGAAGGTTCATCTTTTACAATTAAATGATACGTTTTGCTTCTTTGTATTTAGGGGAAGGGAGGTGAGGTGGTAAGCGAGGGTTTTGTTCTCTTCAAGAAGAGAGTTGAAAATAGAGAAGGCAAAAGGGCAGTAAAAGTTCGTTGAGAAAACGGAGAGGAGACATAAAATTACCAAATATCAAAACCAGAATGCCAAAGCAATAACGTCTACATTTTTAAAATTCACAAGTAATAGATAAGCTCAAACTTGTCTGTAAAAGCTTCTGGACTGAAGATAATATAACAAGTTAATATATTCAACTTTCAGCTTCCTAGGAGGCAGTGGAGAAAAGGGGAGCATATATAATTGAAATCTGTAGATAACTACAGTTCCAAGCCCAGTTTTTGCCAATAATTTCAAACTCATGCTTTTAACCTCAAAGCTGCCCAGAAGTTAATTTTTAAAAATGAATGTTTTAAGTTCAAGTTGCATTTACTTTTTATGGTAGACATACTAACGAGTGTAGGAAGTGTGCATAACATGAGGTGAAATTATATGGCCGTTCTTTCTGTGAGCCACATAAATAGTCCTTCCATTGCTGCATTGCGACTGCAGTTTAACCGAAACTAAACTGCGATCCATTTAAAACATATGCCGATGAAGTTAAGGGCAGTGTAGAATTATTCCAGTTCATAGCATAAAATTCCACATTTCTAAATTAGGAAATGATCAGCCCTGACTGGACATTAAGTGAGAGATGTATGGAGATAAACAATGTAAGGAAGATCTGTTATGTTGCTTATTCCAGGAGAACTTGACTTTCCAGAACGATAGTGTGTTTTCCAAAGAGAAATCCAAGACGTAATAGCAAGGAGCGAAACCTGCTTTCAAAGCTCGTGTTGTGATTAAAATATGAAGAAAATGATTGGGGCACTACAAATTAATAGTTTTAACTATGAATCAAAATACCTTAGTCTCCAAAAAGTAACCATTTTTAGATACACATGCTAAAATTCACACGTACTCCTCTTTTAAAAAGTGTTTTAGGCCCGAAGCAGTGGCTCACTCCTGTGATCCCAACACTTTGGGTGGCCGAGGCAGGCAGATTGCTTCAGCCCAGGAGTTTGAGACCAGCCTAGGCAACATGGTGAGATCCTGCCTCCACAAAAAACACAAGTTAGCCGGGCATGGATTGTATGCCTGTAGTCCCAGCTACTCGGGAGGCTGAGATGGGAGGCTCACAGAGCCCACGGAGTTCAAGGTTGCCATCAGCTGTGATTGCACCACTGCACTGCAGCCTGGTCAACAGAGTGAGACGCTATCTCAAAAAAAAAAAAAAAAAAAGGTATTTGAATATTGAATGCAAAAACTATCTTGATATTAAATTAATTCCAAATCATGATGTTTGAAATATGTGATTTTTGCACTCTAGATGGTTAGATGTTATAACTTTGAAACAGTTACCAACATATTTCCAAGGATCTAATACCAGTTCTATTGTTTTCTCCATGACATTTTGCTCTAAGATCTAAAACACTTGACTCTAATTTGGAAATTATTTATAGGTAAATAGCTAGCATAAGAAACTGAGAAATAAATGTTTTATATCGATATGTTTTAATTGGTTCTGAATTCTCTTAGGTCAGAATACCTTCTTTTAAAAAATCATTTATTGCTTCTTTTGGTCATGCCTCTGCATGCTAAACAGGACAGAAGTTTTTGGTTTTTCAAAAATGATTCCAAATGTAGGAAATTACTCCAAATACTAAACTTTTCTGATACCATCTACCCAGAAATTTTCTAACACCATTTTGCTCATTTTTGTTTTTTCTGCTAAGCTTTTCTTTTAAAGACTTTTGCCACTGTTTATGACTCGTATGATTTATAAGTATCTAGATGCCCCACTTACTCTGCCAGGCAAGCATTCATAAAAATCATATTGTTGTTTCTCGTGTTGTGTGTGTCTGCACACACCCGAAATGTTTTAAGATCATCTCCGCCGTGAGACGAGGACACCTTCAGTTGTGCTTCCTCCTGGCGCCGGAGCCACCTCTGCTTTTCTCCTAGGTGCGATTGTCCGTCTTCGCGAATGTTCTAACCCCACTCCCGTCATCAGTTACTCCGCTCATCCAGGCATGTGTCTTCTTCTGCTATGATTTCAGTTTCCCTCGGCCTCCCAGGCAACGCGCAACTGTGAGGCCATTATACGTCTTTTCTTTATAAACTACCCAGTCTCAGGTATTCCTTTATCACAGTATAAGAATGAACGAATACACTTGCGAAGGATAATGTTAAGTCTGATGTAATCGAACTGAACACACCTGATCATTGGCTTTTTACATTCAGTTAAGATAGGCATGCCCTTCCATTCCTCAGTCATCACAATGGCGGGATCTCAGTTCCTTCCAGCTGTAGGTGCTTCTGGTTCAAACTTCCTTCTTGGGTCTGTGCGACTCACCTAAATAGTAATGACAGCATACCTACTGAGAGCTGGGCTTTAGACCTGCACTCCAAACTCACTCAAAACACATCGAA